ATGGTCATTTCTGGCTTATTAGCTGCCAGCAGCCAGGTAAACCCAGTCGCAAGCCTGAACCACCTCGGATTCGAAACTAAAGTCTTTAATCATTGAGTAGAACGTTCTACCAAATTGACTGTGACTTGGCACGGGGCCCAGATTAGGGAGGAGTGCGCGTTAGATGTAGCGAAAGTTCATCACTACTATAATCTAATTCACGAGCAAGTCTCTACGTCATCTTACAGTGGCGCACATGCTGGACTTCGTCAAAATCGACGATCAAACGGTTACCTGCGGATTTCGACAGTTGCAAGCGTACGAAGATACCTAGAGTCTAAATTTGCATCAGGAGGAATCAAACAGAATTATGTTTCCATATTTCGTCAACAACGGTCTCCTATATTTAATTCAGTGGACCCAATTGTGAAAAATTCGTGGCCTCGATGGGATTCGAACCTACATCAGCAGGGAAGACTTTAGCGCAGCCAACGCTCTACCAATTGAGCTACGAAGGCACGACAAAAGCCGTGAATCTATTTAAGGCGTTTTTGACTCCGGTGACGAAGCTAGCCCAGGATATTTGTCCTTGCTAACTATATATATTACAATGACGGAGCGCAACGTTGCCTCGCCTTTAGGTCAGCTCGGCAAACGGTACTTGCACGCGCAGTGAATTTCTTCACCCACGCTGACATTTCAAGTCGCATGAAATGAGAAGCTATCCCGCCCCTAGCTCGGCTTGGCAAACGATACTCATACACGCACCGTGAATCTCGTTGCCCACATCGACATCTCAAGTCACATAAAGTGAAAAAAAGGGACTACTGTTTTGCATCCTTACCTCCTTGGCAAGAAGGATACGAAAGCGAGTAATCAGACTTTCGCCGAACAGGAAGTAGTTGGAGGCAAAGAGGAAGACCCAGGAGAGGGTTCGGAACCAGGGCAGGTCGTGAGACCGGTAGACGCAATGGCCAATGTGGATGATTTCTTTGAAGCAGCCCATCTGCAGAAAGAGGACCTGTGGACAGAACAATGGGGGGGAAAGGGAATAAAATCCCTGAGGAAATTCTTTCAGCAGTACATAACAGCACAAGGAAATTTAATAGCAGTTTTATCTTCCAGGACTTCCGTCAAGTACCAACTAAGGGTTCGGATCTCGTAGATATTGATTTCAGGTAGGGAAAGTGGCACCTCTAAAATGAAATATAACTTGGCCCCTTAAAATGACGTCAGGGTTGATAAAAAAAATACAGCTAAGGCTATTTATCCAGCTAAGCAGACCACAGAATCAGGTTTAACCAGATGGTAGCAGCGATATGACGTATGACGGGTGTCACTTCCTCCTTTCGGGGGGGGAAGTTGAGTTCATTGGTTTCCCGCACCAAAGAAGTCAAGATTCAACATTGTGGAACAGAATTTTTGCCAGCTACAACGTTGACCTAACTCGAACTCTTATATTTAAATGGCAAGTCGACAAACACACGTTTCTTTATCATCAAGCCTATGCAGTTAAAAATATAATGGAAATAGGAGAGGTGACTTGACTTGACTTGTCAAGTTTAACATGGGAATTTTCACAGAAAGTAAACAATTTATATATTTAATTTCCTCGTTTAATTTTGCATATTTTGATGTCACTAAGGAATTCCTCAGTACGATTGGTAAGTGAATGACCATTTACTTCAGGATCAGCGGATGCCAATTTTACTTTAGCATGAGTGGGATATCAATATCAAGTGAGTTTTCGCATACCGGGAATGACCGTCTTGTATGACAGGTATGTAAACTAAAGCTGAATGACCAAGTGTGTTCCCACAGTGAGGGAAAAATAAGAACTATAACGAGGTCATGCAATCGGTGAAATTCGACCGTAGAAGTTAAGAAAGGTATATAGGTTCAATTTATCGACCCTACTCAAGTAGAGGAAACACAATAATGGTAACGGGAAGTGTTTTTATCAACTATTACTACTAGCTAACCGCTGTTTTTGCAAGGAAGAGATGAAGAAAACCTGGGGAAACTTTTTCAACTCAAAATAGGAAATGATAGGCCAGAGCACAATTAATTCTAATATCAGTTCCATAACTTCCGTCGAGTGCCGACCCACGGCTTTGATTTCGGTGATGTGATTTCAGGCCGGAAGAGTGGCGTTGCTGTCCGACAACATCTGTTACATTAATCCCAAATTGAGATATAACTTGGCTATTTGAAATTCTGGCTGATAAAGAAGACCACAGAATCATGCGTAACCAGACGGCGGCAGCAATATAACGCATGAAATCAGGCTGCAATGACTACTTCTTAATGTCGCCTTTATGGCAGTCCCACGCAAGTGGGACCCTAGCCAGATGGTGTTGAGAAGCGCATTAGAGGGGCGGCCAATCTCGTGTGTGTGTTTTTGTATGTTGCTCACACACTGTCAACACGCGTTTTCGGTTATTCCCCATTAGGCTTATGTATTTACATAAGTAATGGAATTATGAGACGCGACTTGACTCCTCAAGTTTAACATGAGAATATTCACAGAAAGTAAACTGTTCATATATTTAAATTTCTGGTTAATCTTGAAAATGGTGGTGTCCCTCAGGAATTCCTCAGTACCATTGACTTCGGGCGTAGCGAATGCTAGGAGTAGAACATGAATATCAAGCGAGTTGTAGCGTACCGGGAGTAATTGTCTTGTACATGAAGCATGCAAATTTCAATTGGAAGAAGGCAAGGTAGGTTTCCGCAGTGAAGGAAAATAATAAGCACTATACAGCCGGTGAAAATCCGAAGATCGAAGTTAAAAAATACATATAAAGTCAATCAACAGAATTCATACAAGTGAAGTTAACGCAATAATGGTAACTGGAAGTTTCTTCACCAACTATAAATTCTTGCTAAGCGCTGTTTTTTTGCAACAGACTAGCAAGTGAGCTGTCACGTACCGGGAGTGATTGTCTTGTATCCGAGACATACAAATTTATACTGAATGACCAGGTGGGTTCCCGCAGTGAGGGGTAATAAGGGCTATAAGGAAGTCATACAGTTAAAAGGGGCATATAGATTCAATTGATCGACCATACTCAAATGAAGGAAACACTAATGGTTCGATTGGCCCAATTGTGGAAAATTCGCGGCTTAGGTGAGAGTCGAACCTGCATAGCAGGAAAGGCTTTTGCGCAGCCAACGCTCTACCATTGAG